CACCTGGACCACCTGGACCGCCAGGAGTGCCCGGAGAAGCAGGTTTGCCACTATGGTTTCCCATGCACGTGGGCACTTTCGATCCAACAACGGCCTCCCCTTCATTTAATGGTGTTGAAGAAACATGCCGGCACAAGATGTCAAAGTGCCCAAATGAGGAATCACCGGGTGACAGCAACAGCTGCAGCTAGTTCGAGGTTTGTGTGCGCTGAGTGTCTGTGTTCTGATATTCCCGCAAGCTCAATGGGGTTGGGTACTTGTTCAGCACATTTCACAAGTGCAGCACGCTCTCAAAAATACCCTAACAAAACGACCAAGTCTTATTGATAGCCCAATAATCGTTTCTGAAACTATTTAAGGAACAGGTTTATTCAAATTTGGAAAAAATGGTTATTTCCTGAAGGGCATCTACTACATGCCTATTTCAACACGCCTATCCAGGGTAAACCAGCCAGTGCACTACTTCTACAGTTTTACCTTCACCAGAATCATCCGGTTCTGTACAGGAAATGGTAGTGCTTGTTCGTGTTTGTAGCTTAAGGAATGCATGCTTGATTGATCTGCTGAGATTGTATCGGTTGCCCAGTCGTTAGCCCAAAAAGGCTGCGGCGACCACGACAACATTCCAAGAAACGCCTCACGTTGTTGTAGAGCGTACAGACATCTTAGCGGCTTAAACGTGAGATTGGGACGCCATTGACGTTACGCGCATACTAGTTCTGGTTTCTTTTCGGGCAACACCACACTCACACACAGACACACGCACACATAACACTCGAACTAGCTGCAGCTGTTGCTGTCACCCGGTGATTCCTCATTTGGGCACTTTGGCATCTTGTGCCGGCATGTTTCTTCAACACCATTAAATGAAGGGGAGGCCGTTGTTGGATCGAAAGTGCCCACGTGCAATGGGAAACCATAGTGGCAAACCTGCTTCTCCGGGCACTCCTGGCGGTCCAGGTGGTCCAGGTGGGCATGGATTACACGGAGTTGGAGCGATTTGTTCGCAAACCTTAATTTGGCGGTTATTTTTTTTGGAAAGCTCCAAAGTGTAGTGTAAACGAACCCTTGGTGGACGTCCTGGGAATCCTTGTGCTCCATCTGCTCCTGGTCTACCAGGTCTTCCGTTTTTACCGTGCTTGCCTTGAACACCAGGTTCACCGGGAAGACAACATCCTGAACATCGCGGATTTCATGCAGGTGGTCATAAAGAAACTGCTTGCTCATCCATTTTCTTTTTTCGGTACAAGCTTCCAACCCTGCGATCATAACCGAACGAACCGGCACAGACGGCTGCCTGCCTCTTCTCCCTCTTTCCGAAGGTAAGATTATGGTGCGCTCCTGTTTCGGAATCCACCAAACGAGGGAACGCTCCAGTTTTATCACCAGTAGGAGCCAGCTGGCGGATTTCTTCCATTGATCTCTGAATTCAATGCAATAATGGAATGTTGTGGACATGTCTATCATATTTCCAACGAATAGACCCGCCTGGCAGTCATCCAAGTCCCGTTCAATCGTAGTCTTCATAAAGGACACGTAGTTATTGGCCATCGGAATGGTCAAGGACATGGCCAAAATCGAGATGAGAGTGAAGGCCGTGGCCGTGTAGGTGACCAAACAGAAGACCCGATCTCGAGTCTCGTCCATCTAAACACAAATTAGTTTCATATACTTCAACGTGGCTAGTTAGAAGAATCAAAGCCAGTTCATTAAGAGGTCGAAGAATGGAATGAGGACGACCTTTTCATGAGGGTGCAAAAGAACGAAACCAGTCCCTGGCCACAAAGAACTTCTCAACGTTTCTAAAACTGTGTTGTCAGAGTTAAATTGTCCGTAACTTGATTTCTTGTCCTGTCCGACCCATCCCGACCCATCTCGAATAGCAAGGAGGAGGCTTTCCCCGGGGACCATGGGGATGGGCTTTTAAAGCAAGAAAGTAGCATCAAGACACTAACGCTGGGTGCCTAGCCTTGCCATATAAATCACAGCATTATAACAGAAAAAGTCGTCCGAAGTAGCGCTCTTTTTGGGGTGCGCCATGCACAAAACTTCCATTCGGGGCCGCGAAAACATTGGAGAGTATAGTTGACGTGCACAACGGCTTGCCAGCCGACGTACTCAGTGAATAACAGTTTCTTTTAAAGAGAAGCTGGTGACAGTTATCAACAATGGGATACGTTATCTTTAGGGAATGACCTGGTTTGAAGCCCGTCCGTAAAATATCGCCTAACCCGCCACTAAACCAAACCAACATGATGAGATAGCGCATTTCTTTTCAAAAAAAAAAAAACAATTAAGAAATTTCTCGTAAGTAAGGTGGGTAGATCGTTAAGCTTAAGATGAGAAAGTCTGTTCGAACCGAACTGTGTGCCTCCAGGTGTAGGGTGCTATGAAAAAAATGCTGCTAAAAATTATGAATAAATGGAAAAAATTTGCAAGCTTGAAAACAAAGAAACTTGCCTTGGCAAACTAGTGGTAGGACCGGTAGCACCACCGCTTTTGACGTGTCTTTTATAAGGAACCGTCGAGGAGCTCGTGATAAACATTTCGTTCCGTCGCTTCGTCCACAACAGTGCCGGTTGACTGCCATCAACACCAACTCCATTCTTTACCAGTGCACCAGCTTTGTAACAGTATTGCCACAATGAATAGTTGCTATAAGTGGCTGCTTTTCAAAGCCAGTTTAGAAGGGGTGAAAAACCTTTTTCAAATCCAACAGAGTAGGGAAAGGACGCCTGAGATCTTACATATCGCTCTCAATAAGTTGAGTAGCCTTTACTGCACTTTTTCTTCCAATCCAAAAGTAGCCAGGTCTCTCTTTGAACATTTTCGAGATGGTGAACCATTTTCAGATGATGAAATCGGAGACCAATCTATGGATTCGAGACAATCGATCTTTTACTTGAAATGCGCCAAACTTTCGACTTGTCCATAGCCGTGGTGGTTTTCGAAGCGTGGTTTTTCAACAGAATGACTTGCAAGCAAGCTGATGTGGAATACGGTGATTTTTGCCGGAAGACGGGTCCGCTTATCTTAACACATAAGGCTGCGAGGCTCGTCAGACAGTTGTTTGATCGCCGCAATGCATCGCACCTCATTTGTACAACGGTACGTAGCGCCCATTTCATATCCCTTAGCGTCATCTGCCGCCTCCTCTCTGCTATACGCAAAGAGTTGTACCACGACATGTCGGGAAGCCATCGTACTACTCCTGCCCAGTTGTTCACACTGCAGAGTTCTCGTTTTACAGGAGTGCTCAGTTGTATGAAGTGAATTGCATTTATTCAAGACAAGGGAACCTCTCGGAAACCATGTTGAGCTATGACCTCCCTTGGGTTGAGTAAGCTGAAATTCGAAGGAACTGCGCAAGACGAAACAGCTACCCTATTCATTAAGTCTTCAATCTAAGTGTGGCCCATGCACATTTAAATTGTCCTTTTACTGAATAGATTTTTCCCAAGGAGTAATCGAACATGCGGTCATTTATACCGATAAGCTTACTCGTGCCTTCAATAGGTAGACAGAGTTGTTCGCTTTCGAAATGTTTGAAGGCACAGGTAGCTATTATTTGAAAAAAAAAGTCGAGTGGATGAGGCTGCAAAAGAGGCCGTGGCACTGTCGCAGTTCGAAAGTGGTCGAAAAGCCTTGGGGCCATCGATACAACCGCTGCAACCGCTGCCACTTTTGCTCTTTCGCAGCATATGTGGTATCTCCATCCTGTCGTATGACATGCTCTATTGCGTATTCTTTCTTCTCGCCGCGTTATGGGACCCGATCGACTCTCATACTTCCCCTCTCATAGATGGAACCACAACTTCCAATGTTTTTATGACTTCTTTGCTCTATTTTCGCAATGAGGATCCCCTACACGCCTCTTGTTTCATATTCGAGCAGAATAACACTCCAATTCGACCTCCTCTGGCGTCTTTATGAACATGACGTATACCCATAGAAAGTGAAAACCGTGACCGTTGTTCGAGCAGAGGGCCTAATTCGAGTCCAATACAATTGCTTTATGTTATACAATTAATTAGAAAGTGATAACATATTGGGCAGAATTGACGAACAGGCAACTGGCAGCGCATACCACGCGCCGATCTGGGTACCAAATTCTGGCTCATGAGCTGTTCAGAACAACCAAGCCTCCCATTCCTGCTGGGTCGACTTACTGGTCCTAGAGACGGATGAAACCGCGACGACATGCCACTACGAATATGAATAGAAGTAGGATGTGTGGCACATCACAAACAGTATTCGCCGTTACCGGGGTCATGGAGCAAGCAGGTTCGCACAACTCGTCCAGACAGCCCCTCACCTCATTTTGTGAGACATTTTGCGAGTCCTTGTTCAAAGGCTTCAATGAATGACTGAATGAGTTCTCTTTCCCTTCCATTTTCAGTCAACTCGGATCTATAATTTGATAGCGACCACTGTTACCTCGTCGATCTAGGGTTCTTGCTTTGATTACTAGACTTGTTCACCATTAGCTCACAATGCTCAGCTCGGAATGTGCATTACTTCCATTCCCTATTGAGAAGGAAAAGCACTGTTCTATCGAAAATAAGGAATTAGTCACTTTTCGTACTACTATTGCGTACTACTATTTGCTCTCAAAATAATTTCATTCAAAATACGAAGTTCCTGCTCTGCGAACGCCAATTTTTTTCGAGTACTATAACTACTGAATTTCAAAAAAAGTTGGCTCGTCCTTACAAGATTTTCAGGAGATTTCAGTTCTGGAAAAAAAGCCAGTTGGCCAGTGATTAGAGTTTGCGATACAGGCTGAGCACATCCGATAATTATTCGCTCTTGAAATAGAATAATAACACGGGCATATTTTCCAATGAAATTTTAACTAGTTGGTAAGTAACATGTAAAGAAGTAGTTGACCTCAAATTTCTGACATTCCCTCTATAGAGATTCTTTCAGATCGTCAATGCTGCGATGTGTAGGAGAAGGCAATCGCTGCCGTAGGTAGCTATGTAGCTTTATACGGAACAGCACATTGGATTTAGGTTAGAATAGAGATGATCGCATATCCTCAAACCATGAATCTAGGGGGTTAGCGCTGGTGCGACTATTGCAGATCTTTGCTCAGCTGCCGATATATTCCAGAACAGGCTTACAATTAACGTGCTTCATTCAAGGTACCCTCCCTTCAAAAAGCGAGAAAGTGTCGGGTGCAGACCATGCACCACAAGTGACGACGGCCTTCACAAAATGTTAATGTTTTCTGCCAATGAAATGATTAGCCTGTTGCAGTTGTATTCTATCGATTGTCACTAATTACAACTATCATTTACCAGAAATCAGCTATCACTATGAACAACTTCTAACCAGATTTACTTGAACGCCGT